CGGGGCGGCCAGGCCATAATCCTCCTTTTCCCCCCTGCCTTAACCAAGGAGCTTGAGGAGCAGCAGAGGAGGCAGCGCGTGCCCTGTTTGCAGTGCCGAAATAACACCGAGACACTTCAGCACAAACGGATGAGAGCGGATAGCGCCCTGCTGCACTGTGGGGCTGTACCACGATCAGTGCTAGCTGGGCCACAGAATCCGGTACGCAGGTATGTTCATCGACAGAGAGGTATTGCCAGATTAAAGTAAGGAGCAGATTAAAAACATTTGTAAGGCACCAACTGGATGAGAAAAAAATCTCACGTTCTGTGGTCACAAAGATACGCAGCACTTATAAAAAGACCATATAGAACAAAATGTGTTGGTGTGCACATTTAAATAATCTTGTTTATAACAGGATGCTATTTTTGACATCTCTTCATGCTGCTGCGGATTTGTTACCTACTGGCTGAAAGGCCCTGTCAGGTATACTTCATACAACCAGTTGCAGCAGCAAAGGGTCTGTTCTTGCTGGAACAGAAACTCCAGTTTCATCTATGGTATGTTTTGTAAAAATACTACATATGTATACAATAGTTCAGAGCCCCTGTTGGCATAGGTGTTTCGTCCAGTGGCTTTCACACAATGATGAATGCACTCCTGTTTTTACTTGCCAGCTGGGTTGTTCAGCACTGAAGATATGAACATACCTACTCTTCGTAGTTTATTTTAAATTTCAGAAGTATGTTTGGTAACTTGTGCTTTGCAAAATTCACTATTAGGACTACAGAAAATTGTTTATATAAACTGATTAATGTAATGTTATTCTTAACAGCTTTAAGATACATATTCACTAGCACTATTTATATATACACACAGTAAACTGCTAAAACTTTTGACTTGATGTATAGAAAAGCAACTTTGTCTAAGTCATGAATATGAAGTATTGTAAGTTGGAAAAGACAACAGGATGGTTGGAGGACTGAGAAGGTAAGACAGTTAAACTTTATGCTGTATCTTACTGGTTATAGCCTCCAAAATTATAATAGTGCAATAGCAACTCCTGTTCCCCTCCTGACATGAGGGAAAGCAGTACTGCATTTGCACATAAGGCTTGCACACTATTGGTGGCTTTCACCTAACTCATTTGTACTTAAAACTTTCTAAGAGGTCACTGAGGTAGGGGCTGAAAAGCCCTGTTAACTCAATACAAGTCTTCCTACTGAATAAAAGCACACAACCGCTTGACAAGGATTACTCAGACCTTATTTTGTTTTGTTAACAATGCTGTGTGTATTAATGGCACTGCTTTTTCCACTTTCCTAGGCAGCATCAAGAGATAATGGGATTTGTCACACCAACGCTAAACTGAGACGAAGCCTCAGCCCTTTACATGGAACTGTTTGTTGAAAGAGGAAGCTGCAGTACTGAAAGCAGTCAGTGCTTGACTGCATGAGACCACGCCTCTCACAGAAGGCAAATGATGTCTTACTTCAAAAACTTTATGAAATGCAAACTCAGTTAAATCCTTCTTCTTTGCAAGGCAACAATAAACCAGTGACTGACTTTTCATAGAGCTGTTACTTTAATAATTGGGGAGAGGGAAAGCTAAGGTTCCTACTAAGGTATGTACAAGATGTCTTGCTCTCCCTTCAGATGAAGATTTGTAGTTTGATTTACTATCAAGACCAGACAGGTCAACTTTTTTTCAAAAAAAAAAAAAAAGGGGGGGGCAAAAACTTTCTTTTGGCATACAGGTTTTTTTTTTTTTCCTCCTAGTAGCAGAAGTGCCTTTTTAGATACATGGTGAACAAAAACTTAACGTAGGCGTTTCATACAGAACAATTTTTTTTCACAGCTAGAAGTAGGTAGCCTCTGAAAATGTGAAGTTGTCAATATAAAGGAATGCAACAAAGTAAGCCACTAATTCATAACTATCACTACAACAGTAAAAAAATAACTGCTTACAAAGGCAAACAGTGAACTGATTTTAATTAAATTAAGCAATATTGCTGTAGGCATTCAGAGTGCTCATAACTGTATCTTCAACTCTATACTGCTGAAGTAAGGTGTGCTTCAGGTTGTTAAAAAAACTTGTGTGCTTTATTTAAATAACATAGATTGAATATTTTGCTTTATATTGTATGCATCTAAAGATACATTAAGATAAATAGCTAGCAACTTGTCCTGGTTTTACTCAACAGTGCTTGACAGTTGCCTGCATGATCCAACAGGATGGTGGGACTACCGAGTTTCCCTTACTTGGAACAAGTATCAGAACTTTAACAGGATTAAGTTTTTCTCATTTTAGAAGAGCACTCCTATCCAGCATATGCACAAGATACTATCAGAAGCACACTGCTTAAATTGGCAATTATTTATTGTGTTTAGGAACATTCAATAAATACCAAGCTTTTAGCTTCAGTTTGGTAACCATTTCCCACCAAGAGTCGGTTGGTTGATTGGGATTTTTTTTCTGGCATAACCTCCATTGCCAGCAATGGATGTATCAGAACAAGAAGTTAATAATACACAGAGACAGCAGTTTTCTAAGCATACCTCCTCTTTTAAAGGCATGATAACAGATTTACTAAACAAATCTCAAGCAAGTTCTTCACAGAAGAAAATGTTGCTACAAGCCATCTCTGAACATTGTTTTCTTCACTAATGCTGGTAGTTTATTTCATGGAGTACAGTATTTATCTTTGAACAGTACTGAGTAATCATTTAAAAACATTTTTTTACCCCTTAAGGTAAGCTGAGACATGGGACTAGTACTGAACTGTATGAATTCAAGTCATGTACCTCTTGCTGAGCATTTCATGGCAATCATGAATAAACGTACAAGAGAGGAAAAGACAGTATGATACTCTGTTAGTAGGGGTCTGGGGTTTTGTTTGTTTCAGCTTGCTTTTAAACCACTGTTCAGATGTTAAAGGTATTATATTTAAATTTAACAGATGTTTTGACTTTCCATGAAGAATTGTGTTAAAAACACAACTGAAGAAACTTCCTGCTCATGATGAGAATCACTTTCAAGTACTTAAAATTTGAATATCCCTCCAAATTCCATTCATTTATTAAAAATGTGTTTTTATAAAAGCATGAAGACTACAGAAAACCACTTAACATAATAGAATTAATCTTGTGTAATTTTTTCCACAACTGTATTTTACATATCACCAAACTTCTGCTTTAGCAAAAGAAAAAAGAATAAAAATAAATCCTCTCCCAACTATTTACACACAGCAAATACCCTGCTGTGGGACCAGGTACTTTACTCTACAGTCCCTCTAACCCAAGGCGTAATCTTAGGTGTATCCCTTTGTGATTTAGGTTCTTGGAAGTTTTCGGCAAACCTTTCTCTTGCTTTATCCCAGTTCTTTTTATTCTTGCTCTGGATGATCTGAACATCTTCAATTGAGGCTGGTCTACTGGTACCCAAACCTGCATGCGCCTTATGTAACTGAAGGTGGATCTGCCAAATACATTAAATATTGTTGTAACCACAAATTAGGCATTCTAAGTACTTTAAATAATATAATACTAATTCCACTCCCCCTCCCCACGTTTCTCTTTAAGGCTCTAATGTACCTAGATCATACATGGACATCTAAAGTACTGTTAAAATGATGCATCAAATCCACCTCTAGAACTATGATCTACAGTGCTGAATGATGTCACCTGCCACTAACATTACTGCAAAGTACTCCTCACTGAGTGAATAGCATATGATCCCTATGCTGGGTAGTTTGACAACAAAAGGTATAGTGTGGCTCTGAGCAGCACTACTGACAAAAGACAACACATCTGGTGACAAAAATGGGGCTAACATGGCTGCCGTAAAGGCCCAGAACTTGGTGGCTATAGTGACTTCCGCCAGCTTCTCCGCTCTCATGGCCCATCATTTAGCTTAATTTTTGTGCTGTGTCAGCCTCAGAGAAAGTGAAGGATTCCACCACAAGCACATCTTGAACTCACATCACTTAGAATTATTTCAATCTTCCTCCAGACTTTGTATTCAAATACGAGATTAATTCAATGGCTAGAAGCTGTCTGTCCTCCCTTGCTTAGTTTCCTAACAAAACACAGACATTATTGGCATTTTCCACTGAAGGGACAAAATAATTGAAAACTTTCAAAATACTTCATTAATCAAATAAAAAATGATTTGAGATTAGTCCTACTGAGATTATTCCTCCCCAACCAGGATTTTGAAAAGTTTCAAGCAAATAGTGGCTTACAATTAAACATTTTTCACTGCAAATATATTTCTGTTCCTTTTTGCTCCAAGTAAAAACCAGAGACACCTACTGGATCCTTCATACCACCGCCATCCTTGCCCAGGCCTTCCCCTTTCTTCCATCCCATCTTCTCCAACATCTTATGTCCTTTGTTGCTGTTGCTGATTTCACTGCGAAGAAAGTTTCAGATAACTGATAAGCAAGAGTTAATACAAAGAGTATGTTCTCTACTCAAATACTGAAGGACAGAAATATGCATGAATATACTGCTGTAGAAACAGGAACTACTGTGCTGTTCCTATTTCCATCAAGAGCTATCCAGAAGACCCTAGTGCTACCTTTTGGAAGTTCTTCCATTAATATCTTTGGTTACCAAAGCTATTCCAAGCCTCTGGTCAATACCAACTTTCTTAAAATCCCTTCTGAACTACTTGCTTGCCTCAGGAGTTAAAAGATACAGCGTGGGTGGGTGGGAATTGACTACACTAGGGAAAAGGCAGTATCGATACCTCACCACCAAGTCATCCTAACGCATGTATTTCATTGTCTTACACTTCCTTTTACTAACTTACAAGCACCTACAAGTTCACGCTTCTTAGAAAAAACACCCCAAAAAGCAACTACAGAAGCAAAGGAATACTTGAAGATTAAAGTAAGTGTCATTTGAAAGGTATGTAAAGGCATGTCCTATAATAGGCTGAATATTGACAATGAAAAACTGCAGGTGAAAAATTTGCATGTGCACTATTACTGGGACTGGCTAGGAAAAATAGAAATTGAGACACTTGAAAAACAGACACTACTGAAGGTGTCAATAGTGCAGCTGGGGAGTTCCTTGATTTTACGTTGGTAAGAAAGTGATCTAAAAGCATCCTTACTGCCAAGCTGAATTCTGTATGGAAGGTTAGGAGTTAATAAAAAGAGCATGAAGTGAGAAGCATGAATAAAAAGTATGAAGTGAGAATAAGCTTACTATTTTCTAGCTCTTCTAACACATTATATACAGGTAATTCATAATCTAACAACTGTATCCTAGTAACTAATTGACACTTACTTGATTTTTTTAAGATTCACTAGAGAAGGACATGGAGGATTCCCCCCCCCCCCAAACAAACTTACATATGAACAGAAGCTGGACTATCATCTCTCTGGAAGGTTCCTTCACTTCCAATGGTCTCTCTGCGTTTTCCTGCTCTATCTTTGTACTTTGGATTCTTCACTACTTTGTTGTCTTCATACTCTGTGTTCTTTATAAGCAGATTAAATTCCATCAAGGCAAAGAAAGCGGGGTTTAAATTCTTTATTTTTGATAACTTCACTGCTTCCCTCCAAAAGTCAGGCAGCTTCAGCCTATTTCATTAATACTAAATCTTGTAACAAAAAACTACAGTTCTCATTTAGTAGTTTCTTATCTCACAGCCATACCTTGTAAGGTATGTTATTGCCATCATCACAATATTGCCAAATTCATTAATTTCACAGAGGCTGTAAATAAATTAACAGATTCTCTTGAATCTTCTCTTGGTATGAAGAATCAGTCTCTCCATATTAGCAGAAAACCATATGGACACGCCACTGGCTTTTTGTTTAAAGATTCAGCCTGTTCCCCAGCAACTATTTCTTCAGTATAGATGACAGAACAAAGCACTTCTATAGATTCCGTATCGATATTATTTTGGTAGCTGAAGAATTTGGGACAAACGACGCCATTCTGTTTTCTACACCAATACTTATTACAGGTGCTAGATGTAACCCCATAGTTAAAATAATCTCTAAACTAGACGTAACCTGAATACTTATATACTATATTGCCCATACATTCATGTTGGCATTCTTCTATGGCAAAGCAGACTTAAAATAAAAACTTAAAAGATTTCCCTCTTCCTTCCATCATTTTTTCAGTTGCTCATTATGTTTCCTTTCCAAATAAAAGATAGCACTGCAATTTAGTGTAAACTTAATTTGCAGAAATAATAATAGAAATGTCTTAAGAAATCTTAACCTCAAAAGGATGAGGAATCTTGTACCCATTGGAATGGATCTTCTTTTCCTTAACTTTTAACAGAACCTTCATGCCCTGTTACCATTCTCTCTCTCTGTAGAAGTTTGTAAATAATTATTATTTAGTGTACAAAAGACAAGCTTGAGTTAAACTACCAGGCTCAAATTTGAGTGCATTTGAAAACTTTCCTTATTCACTGAAGTCTATAGCTTAAAGTAGGAATCACAAAGTAGATGTAGACTTTAAACACTTAATCAACTTCTACTGTAAACTCACCTGTAAACCATATTTTACCCGTATTTGTTTCAATGCTTTTCTTCTGACTAACTCTCTCTCTTCTTTGCTAAGTGCTGGGCAAACTAAAAGGAAGAACACAGGATTGAATTTCTAATTAATAATGTAACAAGGTTTAGAAACACAAGACAACTGAGAAATTTTGTTCTAACATTATTACACATACACACACACACCAAGAAGAAAATACATCATCATGTATCGTAGAACTGTTCCCAGTTGACAAGAAAATTGTAAGAAAACTGAATTAATTATTATGTTTACAAAGTAAAGAGCTATAATAAAAAAAAAAACATATCCCATGATAACATGACTAACCAGAAGATTCCTTTTTCCTGTCCAGGCGAAGATGTGCTCTGACTTGTCCTGGTTCACATCCATCACAAGTATCACTGCCAGGATGTATATGAAAAGAAAGCACAGTTTCACCAATCTTCACTTCATCTCCATGCTCCAAGATGTAGGGATCGGATTTTGTTTTAGGCTACAGCAAAAGAAAGTTTTGGCAGCCATGTTAATTAGTTACTAATGAAGGGCATGAACTCTATTTCATGAATACTGCTCATAATTTAGTAATTCAGTTTGGTCTCTCAAATGCAGGCAAGTATTTAACTAGAGTGGGTATTTCACTCTAGCAACTGCAACCGTAGTGGATTTTTCCTAATATAAACCAAACATGAAGTATTGTAAGTGGCCCTAAAACCAGAAGGAAGAGACTAATGTATGAAAGAAGCCACATAATGACATTGTTAATGATTTGCCATAACATATTTAAAATGACCACATGACTACAGTTTTCTGCAACGTACACAGCATTATAACAACAGGTACTCACCTGGAGAATCTGATTTCCATTAACAACGGTTCCATTCTGACTGCCTTGATCCACAAGAACATAATTTTGCAAATCGTGGTCAAAATATACTTCTGCATGGAACTGATAAATAGAAGCCTAAGTGAAATGTTCTCATTAAGCAAATACTTCACAACTTATATGCTCTTTTAAAGTAAGATTTCAGAACGTGTTTTGAAGCCTTTTAACTGAGTGTCTCTGGTACTCTAAGTTAATAGAGTATTCCACACCTTATAATTTCATCCATGTGAAATGTAAATGAATGGGCCACAACAGCATGAGCTAAAGTATACTATTAATAATCTAACCATTTTGACTATAAACTGATTCAGTACTGAAAAAGTATATACTTCCAATGTGGCAAGTATGCTTTACTTAAAGGACTGCAGGATTCAGTAATACAGCATTTTTAACTGTTCTTATAAATAAAAGGCTTTTTTATTGTAAGGTATGTTACAGCACTCAATTTTTCTCTTTCAATTTAAAAAAAAAATCTGGTCTCATTCTACAGCTTCAGGTTACTTGGTCTTTTATATCTGAAATAGCTCCCTAAATGCCATGCTTTTGTAAATTTCACGTAATTCAACTTCACCTTAATACCCAGGACACAATGCCTAGCCATCATTTGCTGTTCCTTTTATATCCTTTCTGATATTGAGACTAACAGTCCAATTTTTGTTTGTTTTCTTGTTGCAATTCTATATAGATACTGCTCCCAAGTCCACACAGAACAGAGAAAAAACAACTCTTGGCCAAACTCGCAAAGATACACACAACCTCCAAAAATGGCCACTGAGCAAACCAAAATATCAACCTCTGCAGCCTAATAAGACTTTCAGTAAAAAACAGAAGTCTAAAAAAGTGACAGTTTCAAATTTGACAAGCAAAAGATCCCTTTTGCTATAGTGGAGAGCACTATAAATGAGTCAATCTAGGAAGGAAGTGTTCATTTAAAACCAAATCTTTTCTTACCTTTGAGCAATAGCAGTTGCTACATTCAGTAATAAAAAAATCAAAATATTTTGTGGATTGGCTAGCATTTACAACAGGAGTACTCCCATAATGGTGGAAAGACTGACTAGCTCATTCAATAGATAATTTAATTTCTACCTCTGTTTTATTGAACAGGATGAACCCAAGCTTCTTCTAAAGATTCTAAATTGGCAGAGTGTAGTGTTGTTTTTTTTAAATCTTTACACTCAAGAAAAGCAAATGCCAAAGTGGTCCACAGCTATCAACTATGAATAGTGAGGAAAACAAACTGGTAGTTAACTTTTTGTTTCTACAGATATGTCATTTATACGTCATTTATCTTCCTGCCTTTGACTCCTTATCTGCAAAGTGAAATAACTTCTTATGTAAACAGTCAGGTCCCTGTGAAGTACTAAAATGGTGACATCACAGAAAATTAAAAGCCTTTCAGCTTCTTTACGCACCCAATTTCAAATACATGCCTGAAAAAGTCATTAATAGCAGGGAAAGATTTGCTCTGGAAATTGTTCAGTATGAAATACAGTACGTGGCTGATTAATCACAACTATCATTTGGAACAGACATAGTAAAGCGTATTTCAGATACTTGCATTTGCAGATGTTTTTATCAATTTTTTTTTGTTTGGATGACATGTCTTTGTCAATCTACATTTTCTTTTATTAAGAGTGCTGTATTTATGGTCTCTGTTACAAGTAGTTAGTGAAACAGAGCACATAATTTATCTTTAATCTTTCTTAACCAGAAGAAAAATTTTCCATTACAATCTGTCACTGAAAGAAATTCTGTTAAATTTTCAAACTCCCTGTATATCACTTACACATTTATACAGTTGCATTGAAAAAAAATAAAACAAAACCAGTTGCTCTGAGCTCAACTGCAACAATTGGATTACTTATGACAAAGTTCTAACTATCTGACATCAGTATTTTATATACCATTAATACTTAACAGAGTAATATGTTTTCCTCAAGTTCAATAACTAAGAAATTCAAGATTCAAAGTATAATTTTTTTTACTGTGGATTAGTAAAACTCCAATTTAAAATCATATTTAGCTTTTATAGACTTTGAAATCACACTGCTGTTCATGTTACATTCCCATTCAATAAAATACCATATGTTTTCCTTTTTCTAACTTCAAATGTGGATAAACCCACATCTTATTCTAAAAGTTCTTTAAAAAAATTAACATAAGATTTGGCAAAATTTAAAGCCATAAAATCTAAAGCTTCATTCATATGCTGATCTACCTTTCAGCAGACAGAAACAAGAGTTACCTTACTGACTCCAACTTCAGGAATCTGAAGTGTGTGTCCAACATCTTTTTCTCTGGAAAGGCAAGTTGATATATAAATCACAACAAAGTAGAAATAGGTCTAATAAGTGGCTTACAAAAGGTGTGTTTCAGTTGAACCTTAATAGCATGTTTCTCTTCTGAGCTATTGGGGAGCTTTACAAATGTGAAACATGGTGTCGCAATATACACAACGTAAAGACTTGCTTCATGTCCCTTCTTCCATCTATAAACTATACACAGTAGGCAATGAATATATGATAAAGCTGTCCCTTTAAATTTTTATCTATAAACCTGACATTTCTATCTGAACTTTTATACTCATACAAGGCCTGTAAATAATAGTCTGAACTCTGCATCCTTCAAGCTCTTCCCTGCATCTTTGCATCAGTCTTCAATGCTGGGGTTGAATTCTTGGTAGCATTAGGCAGGTAATAAAAGCAATGAAAGAGTAATCTGTGTAGTTTTTTTTTTTTGTCAAAAACACTGCAGAAGGAGAAAGGCATTTGTGTATTAGTTTCTTATACTAGAGGATGAAGCAGCAATGTAGCTAGCAAAGGACCTATATGCAAACTGCAAGCAGAATTGTCATCTATTAATCTTCACATAAATGTACCTAGAAAACTCCAGCTATAAAAGCAAATCAAAACACATCTATCAGCATTAGGTAAAAGCAGCTGAAAAGGGGTAAGGTTTTCAGTAAGCATGGAAGAAAGCATTAATTCATCATTAAATTAATCATCCACAATGAACAAACCCAATTTTTATTTTTTTTTTAATATTAGAACTGGAAGAATGCATACAGGCTAGCACAAAACCCAACTTATTATTTAAAAATGATGAACCAACCCTACTGGAATTTGAATGTGTGAGGAAGTCCAGGATATGCTTCCTTGTGATCCTGAATTTCTGAAGTGTGTTCTTCCACTTCTGAAAAAGTTACCTTAGTGGCCCAGAAAAAAAGTTTACTTACTTTCTAGAAAACAACAGTTTTCAAAGAATGACTTGCAGCTATGCTGCCATTAGGACTTAAGACACAAGATGAAGTTACCACTAACAAATTTTCATGACTGCTGAGCTGCATGAACTGCGTATGCTATTATCACAGCATGACATTACGTGACATGACTTAAATTTCTTACTGTGGGCTAACATAACTCTGAGTACCTCACAACTGCTGCACACTAGGACGATAAGCATGAAGAGGAGGGACAGGCAATCCTGAGTGGCTTCCACAGCTTTCAAAGCGAGGTACAGTTTCAGATACATCTAACAAATTCCATTCAGTTTTACCTTCCAATTGTAGCAGGTTTCACAGCTGTGATAATATAAAGTGATCCAGTCTGTAGAACTGGCGATCTTATTACAATTACTCTAATACAAGGAGGCCAGATCTTTTCTTCATCTACAATTATAAAAAAACATAAATACTGTTACTACAAACAAATTAGTTTTACCCCCTATAGTCCATAGCTTTCAAACAACTGATATACATTCAGCCATTACGTGGCTGAATCCTGTGCAACTTTCAGAAAAAGAAACGTATAAGCACATCTGAGAGAAAACTTTGATGAGACCACTGTTGCAAAGACTTTCTGACTACACACGAAAACTATTAAAATGTTTTCCTAATTCTGGTTATTTACATGTGCATGACTGTTTACTTACAGCAATAAAGTATAAATACATTCACAGAATTTACCAGCATATTATAAATTTATGGACCATAACAGATTAGAATACAATTTTACTTTGAGAAAAGGCAGCCCTTTTTTATTCACCACAACACAAACCTAATGCATATAGAACTTTATATTTGGTAATTTCCATGTCAAATGTATTTTACTAGTTTTTACTCTTATTAGCACTATGCACAAATACAGGTAAGAAAAAAATAATAGATGAGCCTACAGATGCATATGCTTTTTTCCCTCAGTATGTTAAGTAATTATATTCTAACAGCTGTATGAATTCTGTTCCTGGATGTACATTTGCAGAATCAGTCACCAATGATGTCAGCTAGCAATAGACATGGGAAGATGGGAAGACACTAGCTCAAAAGGTTCTAGGAGGAGGGAAACTGTCTCCAGTTTTTATTACTCCAGCATTACTGCAGAATTGATTATTAGAAAATAGTAAGAGAAGGAAATTTAATCTGAAACCCTGATGGTAGCAAGCACATTTTTGAATGGCATTAATCACTCAGAATCTGAGTAGTTGTGTAATGAAAACAGAAGAAACAGACTGACTATTTAACTGTGAGCAGGGCACAGGCTGCAGTACAGACTTCTACAGGTTGTATTTCATTCTGTGATTTGGAATATCCTTTGCATATACATAGTTCCAATTGGTTGCATTAAGCTTTCACAGCTTTTTTTTTTTTTTTTGCAAGAGACCATTCAATTCTTGAGGAGGTCTTAAGGACCTAGGAGAACACTTTCTTTGGTACAAAACAGCATACAGGTTTCCCCTCTATACCCATTTCTTACATGTTGCCACTGGAATACACACAAAATAGGATTCCAAATAGTACTGAGTACTTGTCCTGGTTTCAGCTGGGATAGAGTAATTTTCTTTCTAGTAGCTGGCATCCACATTCATCCTTTTCACCACAGTGGATTCATCTTACGTTGAATTACACAGTTGTTTATGAACAGTATCAGAAATGCTATACATTAATTGAAGAGAGTTAATACACAGAATTACTGTGAGGTCTGTACTAAAATCTCTATTTTAGCAATAGACTCTCTTTTCTCCTGTCACTATGCTAATCTAAACAAATCTTATTCTACCACTGAGGTTTCTACACAAGCACAGGAAGTTATACCCCTAAACAGCTTTTACAAAGACACCACTACTTCTGGCTACTGTGCAAGTAAAGAGAAGGAAACAAATACTAGTAACATATAGCATTTTGAATTAAAAAAGTATCTCAAGTCACATGCTCTTATTTTTATTTTAATTATCCAAACTGTTTTCTTGTAGTTTGTTCTTAATGGGCTCCTGGAAAAATACAGTAATATCATACATAAAAGCCACAATAATTCACCTTCGTCTTCTAAGTCTTCTGAATCAGCAGTTTCTTCACTTGTTACTTCATCCTCACTGCTGTAGGCTTCGCACTCTGAATCTGTAATTTCACCTTCTTCTGGCTCACTCTCTGTGTCTGCTGTTCTACTGTCATCTGTATATGCTGCAGTATCTGGTGTACTTTTGCGTGAATGTGAATTTATACTGTCTGTAGAAATTGATTCTTTGGCTGTTAAACTGTTCCGTGGTTTTGTGTCCATTTTAGTCTTCTTTCTTACATTTGGAGACTCTTCTTCCTCAGTAGAACTTACTTGCTCAGTAGTGGAAAAGCAATTCAGACTGTTCTGCTCTTCTGTGTCCAAATCCTGGAGGGGAGTTATAGAATGTTACATTCTTTACAGATTGAGTTATTCTAAAGTCTGCTATCAGCCTGGAAGTAAATTCTTCCCTAGGAAGAACTATTTTTACAACTATTAAGAAATGGTTAAATTTCCAGAAAGTTTAGCGCATGCAGTCAACACAATATTTCAGTGGAAATATTTTCACACGCTATGACTGAGACCATCTTCTATTTGGGAAAGTGTGACTGCACTCCTCTTCTAAACGTCACTTATTCTTTCCTCTTTTCTCACACAAAACTTAAGATCCTTGTCCTCACTTTCAAACTTGTACAACAGCATCTTGAACATTTTCCAGTTTTGCTTCTATGACACTTACTTCTGTCCCTCTCTTACTTAATTCTTGCAACTTGTTTAAAAGTTCTTTAATTGATCTTCATCGTATCTTCCTCCTGTTTTTGTCTTCTCATGTTTTTCCATAGTGGTCTGGAATGCCCACCCATGCTCGCCTAATGACCTGCTCTTCCTCCTTTCAAAATTGCAACTTTAACAAAGCCCTTCATTAAGATACTGTAGAGAAATTAATTTTAATTTATGCTATACAGAACAGTTCTACTGAGAATCCATTTTCTACTGCAACAAATTCCTCCACTGAATACCAGACAGATTAGATGATTGCAGGTTCCATTGCCACTTGATTTCATCAGCAGAAAAAAGACCATGAACGTTTTTTTAACTGAGAAATCTAAAGTTTCAGATTAATTTTGCCAGATTACCTTGAAAATGTAATTGACAATCTAGTAGCCCTGACGACCATCTTAAAAAAAAAAAGAACACAAATGGCTTTAAAAGATAAATAAAAAAAAATCTCCAATAAGTTATTTGCCATCTTGGATTCAGAATGAATGCATTCAATTGCCCTGAATTGTACCAAATATTGCAACGCAGCAGTTAAAAAACATCCTTGACTTTTTTCAGTAACTTTTCATATAGAGCATTTTACATTTCAAGATACATGAATTAATGTGAACGTTAACGTCATGGAAATTAAAGCACTTTCACTTTTCACAACTGTAAAAATCCATCAGTGGCACAGCTGTAAGACAAACACAAGAATTCCTCTCAGCCCAGCAGTCAAGCTGTTGGATAGGACCTTACAGTGTACTTCTGAAACACTTTCAATAAGACAGCATACTCTCAGGAAAAATCAGCAAATTTTAAAAGATGCTTTAACTGAAGGACTATCAGTTTGTTTAGGGTTTCTCTATAATGCACTAGCCCTCCTCCCCGAATCCTCTTAAGTACTGCAACCAGGAAGGAACAGGATCGCAATGTCACTGCCTAATGTTGTTTAACATTTTACTAATCCTGCCAAAACTAAGACAACACAGTCCATACATATGAGACCCATTAATTCCATTAGAAATCTTTTTGGCAAATCTGATAATGCTTTTATGAATGGTCTTTTCCAGTGTATTTATCTTTGTCTACATTTATGTTTAGTATGGATATTAGATCAATACCAAGGTGGCTCTGCAATCCTAAATGTATGTCTTCCCATAATACTGGGAGCTACCAAAGTTTTACTAATCTAGTCTGAAAACAGAAAAACTAAATAGTCTGCTCAAATCACAACTGACGCAAAGCAACAGATGATTGTGATGCACTGATGCCCCAGTATAATGCTCCAACCACTCAGTTCCTTCTCCACAGTGAATCCAGTGATACTTGTTTTTGGCATCACTTCAGATATTCTAAATTAGAAAATAAAAAGGTGCTGTTTCAAAGCCTAGCTACTGAAGAGTAGACTCTCTGTTCTGGGGTGAAAACAGGAATTTTAAAAAAACACTTTTATAGACAGACCAAGGATTCTGTACATACATTCTGCCAATGTGACCATTAAGCCTGTTCTCAGCAGTTTCTGTATTTTTTCCACTATTACTACAATCAACTGTTAAGAAAGCAAATAAACTAAATAGTTAAGTATTGCTAAAAATGTAATCTTCGCATTTAGAAATCCTTGTACAAAATTGAGGATTTAAAAACTGTACTCCTAAAGAATATGTATTTTGAGCCCTTTATGATTTCACAGATTTGTACTGAAACGCACATCTTGCCGATGTCTAAACATTAAGCCTAGGGTTGCTGAATGTATTATTAAAGCATTTGAGGGGGGTCTCTACTTGTGCTGAAGAAATCCTTTTCCATTATGTATGACTACTAGTACTAACACAAAACATATGTAGCACGCATGAAAGTGTAACTAGGCAAGCAGCACCTAATACCTTGCCTCCATACCGCCCCTGCTTAAAAAACAGGAACAAGTAGTAAACAGAATTCATTCATCCTGAATGACCTACCAAACACTAGCAACGCACTTCATTTCTCAACGGCAGGATGTTTAACTCTTCATCCCAAACTCATGATACAACACAAAAAGGGTGCAAGTACATGCTCATTATAACCATGTTCGTTACACCATGATACCAGGCACATACATTCCTTTGTATGTGGCTTTGACTAATACATCTAAATAGTCAGTAGACCTACCCCAACAGTCATATGTTGGATATGGATTGCCACTCTGTGATTCAGCTTTGAAAAACTTTGAATCTACTGGGTATTGCCATATGATCTCTGGCTTTTCTCTCACTAAGCACGAGTAAAGTTGAAAGGTTGGATGAATCTGATCCATAACGAACTACTTCTTAACTACAGGGTTGAGTCGGTTCGTATTTCTGCACCCCTGACAAAAACAGCCAAAGGTGCAAGTGAAATTAGGATTTTTGTGTATCCCGTGAGAAGTGATCTTATAAGTATTACAAATCATGTTCGTGTGACTGGAATCGATGGTTTTGCTTTATAAAGAATAGGCCACAAACTACTGATTACAACAGCCTTCTGAAGTGCAGATTGGCCTACTTACAATATATACATGAGTGATCATAGCAGGTGAAGTGTTTTTAATGAAAAATTCAAAATATTTCAAGCATTTAACTATACTTTTTGTTTTACTGTGACAGAGCAAGACATTTTGTCTTTCAAAAGTTCACATTTTTCCATATTATGCCTGATCAACACGCATGTTCATGCAATTCTTCAGCATGCCTACAAATTAGAACTTAAAAATTATTGTGAGCATCATTAGCTTAATTCTAAGAAATGCACTGTTTAAGCTGTATTGTTTTCTAAATCAATTTATTTTATACAAAACATACAAATATGTGCAAATACAGCTTTTCAGAAACACGTAGCCTGTTGCTTCTTAGTTTGCTAGAAGTTCAGTAGGTGACTTAATGGAATCATGGGTACTCAATGCCCTCATCTAAAGGGCTGTGTTAGATCTTTAGCGCTGACTCTCTCAATTTGAAATATTAATCTGAAATTCAGTATTTTACTAAAGAAACAATTTCAAACAGTTTAAAATAGCTCTTTCACTCATGTGACTAAGCGTTCACTTGCTAGCACCGTTTCACAAGTACTTCAGTTACTGTCCTCCTCCCTACACAATACTCGAATTTCCTAAACTCAAAAAAAAAAACTAATTAGAAGCCAGAAAAAGAGTAAAGCTCTTCCTCTATCATAAAGAAGCCATTTTATACACTGGTGGACAGCTCTGAAATACAGGAAACAAATTTGCCTTACCTAAAGAACGGGTTGTTTGTTTAGTCAGGACACCCTATGTTAATACAGTGATGCCAAATATGTATCTTCCCAAATATTCTACAATGTCATCAAAGTTTTCTTCAGATGTTTTACTTATACAGTGTTTCAAATATATTTCAAAGTTACTTTGTAGATGAACTGATTTTGATCAAATAGCTTAAAAAATTATTAATTCCTTTAGGAAAATAGGTATCTAAACATAAACTACTACATATTATTTTTCCTTTAATAAAAATATCAAGGTTAAAAGGTAAACATCCACGGACTAGTGTGTTTGGTGTCTCAACTCTACCTTCACCAGAAGCTGCCAATCCAAAAGAAGAAATCTTCAGATTAGCCATGGTTTCTGTCAACTGACGTACCTAAAGATGGGATGAATATCAGCAAAAAGTAAACTACACGTGATTAAAAAAAATAAAAATCTCTGCTTCAAGAGTTCTACAGGAAATACTACTACAAAAGCCTTGTCTCTCCTACAGAAGTAGCTAGGATGCATCTATAACAGAAAAGAATATGGCAGAAGTTAATTTTGAGCACCACGCTGAAATAAAATTTGACAGTAGTTTAAGAATAAACTGTAAAAATAATTCCTGGGAAAAAAATTATGTATGTCAGACCCTGCATCTAAATTTTCTAACAGCCCCAATCCAGCAAGTAGAACTACATGATCACTATTGCACACAGTCTATTCTCCAACCTTTATGGAAGCACTGGATCTAGATATTGGGCCAGGGATGACATTATCATTGATGCCACCTTGTGATTTGGGTGGAGTTTTTTTGGGTTGTTTTTTCTCTTTTAAACTTTTCCAAATTTACTTATTTAGAAGTTATTCTTGTACAGGAGATAATTATGGTATTTCTTGCCCCATTTTTTTTTGGCCCACCACTACAAAAAGATACCAGAACTGAACTGTATGCCTGAAAGTTCCAAAGTATTCCACCCATTCTCTTTATGCAAGCTGCACAGAGGCTATCTGATACTTCGTCCTGGCAAACAAAATTCCTGATCATCTATTAAAAGCAAGCATGTGGGCAGCATGCTTAAGTTTCACAAGTCAAAAGAAAACTATTTGTAATATAGAAGTTTGGTGACCGAAAGGAATCTCTTTAAAGTTCTTGTATAAATCAGGAACACTCCTCAGGAGATACTAAGCATGTGAGTTCCCCTCCACTGTTTTTTTGCAATTAGAAGTACATTCACTTCATAGAATCATAGAATAGAATCACAGAATAGTTTGGGTTGGAAGGAACCTCTAAAGGTCATCTAGTCCAACCCCCCTGCCATGGGCAAGGGACATCTTCAACTAGATCGGGTTGCTCAGAGCCCCGTCCAACATGATCTTGAACGTTTCCAGGGATGGGGCATCCACCACCTCTCCGGGCAACCTCTGCCAGTGTTTCACCACCCTCACAGTAAAGAACTTCTTCCTTATATCTAGTCTAAATCTACGCCCCTTTAGTTTAAAGCCATTCCCCCTTGTCCTGTCGCAACAGGCCCTGCTAAAAAGTTTGCCGCCATCTTTTTTTATAAACCCCCTTTAAGTGCTGATAGGCTGCAATAAGGTCTCCCCAAAGCCTTCTCTTCTTTAGGCTGAACAACCCCAACTCTCTCAGCCTTTCTTCAGAGGAGAGGTGTTCCAGCCCCCTGATCATTTTTGTGGCCCTCCTCTGGACCTGCTTCAACAGGTGTCTTTCTTTTAGCAGATGCTTACTAGTATTTTCTTGTTTGGTAATTCAGCTTGTTAAAAATACAATAAATATTTTAACAGATTAATTTTAGTCTTTAGATTCTCAGATTTGTATTGCTTTTTCAAGAATGCGGCAATATTTGTGGAGAATACACTTGCCATTTCTGTAGTGTTACACATCCCAACTTACTACTTATAAATAGATACTATATGTAAGATAGCTGCACACATCAAATTCTTCACAACAGCTACAAACTAAACCCCACCTAAAAAACCCTCCTGTGACCAGAAATAGAAAGTTAACAGATTGGCTTAGTTATGATCTTTTTTAGATTAAAAAGAGATTAACTTTGGTTTAAATAGAGTAAGTCATTCAAAAATCACATGCAGTTTTTGTAAAAACTATGTAGCTACTGTCTATGTAGAAATATTTGCTGTGATAATCTACATATGCAGCTGCTAAATTCCCTTATTTCTTGTATTTGACAACTTTTAAGTAATACTAAATATCAATACTTGTTTACATTTACTCCTTTAATTGAAGAAGAGAGAAAACAAGTTTAACAAGTGTTTTGTGTACTTGAGGTTCTATAACTACTGCTCACTGTCTTCCCCTGCTTCACATGCATATTCTTATAAACCACCTCATCTTCATCCAAGAATAATAATGTTCAGGGGCTGTATGACATATTCCCAGAATTAGACCCTGGTATTGCTTTATTTACCACTATTAGTGGTCCGCAGACCAGGCAACAAACCAAACCATTCTCCTACATGTACTGGCTGTAGAAAAAGAACGTCGAGTAAAACCTACTTTGGCCAAGAAATTAGGTAATGTTTAGATGCATTTTTCAGGCTAGCAGCACAACTTAATAACCAATTGGGAAAAGCAATAATGAAGTACTAATCTTCAAAATAATTGTCACAATTTTAATAATTTAACCAGTATTCAGGGACAGGTTTTATCTTAACTTTGTATTTATTTTGTCAAGAGTGGAAGAAGGAATGGAAGGAAAAGGGAGAAAGCTGGACATAAGTGTGTAGGAAAGCATTTCAATAGACAGCACTTGAACTACAAAGTTCTACTTAAAACCAGATACTTTTGGTTTTGTTTTAGGATGTAAATAATGCAGTAACTAGCATGAACTAATCAGTGCCTTTACCAATACCAGACCAAACTGGACAACAATAATATTGCCAAGAAATATTATTGGGATATATTTGCCACAGATGCCAAGGCATCTGTGAACTGGATTGTGCAGCTTATAAACTATTTTTTCAGTTTTATAACAGAAAAATTTATAATTTTTTATTCGAACAAACCTTAATCTTTTATTCTAATGTAACTTTTTTTTAAACTAATGAACGCATTTCTTGTATGATCAAGAACCACACCAGAACAAAGTATTTTAACTCAGCTATGTGAAATATGACAGTAAGGTGCTTTGTTTTTTCTAAATCTGACAGCGCATTTACATAAAAGTGCACTGACAAAAAGGCATTCTTTTCTTTTTGAAATTTAAAGTGGAGAGTAATTGAAGTTTTGCTTTGTATTCTCCCTTTATTTTGTTTAAAAAAAAAAACAGAAAAGGCCTTGATTCTTACTATGACACTAACGTTCACTTACTGTTCACAGATGCAAAGATCTGCGCTATAGAATCTGTTTTAAATGTTTTTCCTCTTATCTTGTTGGTCAAATTAATTCACAGATAAAGCAAAGTACTCAGTTCACGATCCATAAAACACATCATAAAAAGTGGATGTTTACCTCCTACCTTGTGACTGTGCAAGCTTCACAAAAGATTTGTTAACAAAACCATCTATATAACAATATTTTATCAATACAAAACAAGCTAAAGACAAATAGCTATTTGTAGTATAATCAGACAGAAGCAGATTGTGATGAGATCCCAAAAAGTAGTGAAAATTATTTGTTAGGTCACAGCTATATATGCCACAGAACTTTCATAAATACATTTGTTGATTTAGGTCAATATGTAACAGTTCATCACAGAACTAAATTTAAGAGATTTCTTAATTGCACTATATGATAAAGGCTCATTCCTACAAGCTTTCCATGATGCTTTCCTGACACATGATGAATAAAGTTCTGTATTATCATGCCTTTTGAGTGTGGTAGAATGCTAATTCAGCAGTTGCACACAGCATGCCCAGAACTTGGATGCTGGTAAATCTCCTAGCTTCAACTACATCAGCTCCCCTCTCTTAAGTCTAAAGGATCATTATACTTAGTGTTGCTAAGTATCAACTTCAAGCTTTCAAAATGGAATGGTTCACATGAAGTTTTCTCAGAGTAGAAATTCCCACATTATCCACAATCTATTTATAAAATCTGTAATTGATCAACTACCACTATCCATTTAACCTACCTTCACTGGTTCTTAATGTAAACAGTTTCCATTTTCAAATCTTTCAGAAGACCTCACTCCTGATAGAAAATTTTGAAACTCTGTATTGATGCTATGTAACTACTATGTAAGAGTACCTGTACACTAAAACAATTATTTCAGTTTCAACCAATCGACTTGACTGAGGTCTATATAATGAAATTATGCAATGGTTAAAGCAATAGCTTTAAAAAATGCAAACTAAGAAGCACTGCAAACTAAAGAAATCAATACATTCAATTAATTCTTAAGTAATAAAACAAACTTGCAAAATAGGACTATAAGAATCTGATTCAACATCTATAGTAGTGTTCATTAGGAAAATACTGCTTGAGGTTCAATATCTGTGTTACAATAAAACTTCTGGTGTTTAGGTGCGAGTAATGGTTTTCAAGGCAGTCACTATATACTATATGGTATGCTTTCTTAGCAATCAGAAAAACAACAGATAGGAAGTTATGTTTTTTATAACTTAAAATACAAGTTAATTACAATGGGCATTTATTAAGATGTACAGCTTATCCACACACTATGGACAACAAAAATGTATTGACCAAATAAAATATCAATAGGAGAGCACAGCATGCAAAGAATTAGAACTTCAGACACCTCATCAATCCCAAATGATGGTACAGATACAGTAAAATGTCAACGGAATGAGCTTTGGAATACAGAGTCACAGAGAACGGGTGGCGTGTGTGTGCATTTTCAAAACCTTCAGTCATTTTTGGTTCATCACGTGAATTTAAAAAAAAAAAAAAAAAAGGCCAACAAGAAGCAGCACAAGCCAAAACGCTAAAACCAAGACACTGAGGTAACACTGAGTTTCTGACGTAAATCCAGTCCACTCAGTATCCTGAATTCATTCTAGTGTGCTTGCTAATCAGAGAGTTTCACTGACACTGAATTTTAGACATCTCTACAGTTGTATTGTAACCAAATAACATTGAAAAAGTGAGGGAGTCCAAGTTTAAAGTTTCATCCTTAATCACTCACTGGGAAAATTATTTGAACACTAACTACATGTTAGCAACCTGCTGTATATAGTTAAACGATGTTTGAATCCTTCAGAAAATAAGCACACATCCTCTACATAAAACCAAACCCCACAACCCATAAATTGCATCATGGAAAAAAAAACAGGTTTCGCATTTTCTGTCTGTCCGTTCTAAAGTTACCTTATACTCATTTGCAGAAATCCGCTCTGGTTCTTTTCTCTTCTTTTTCCCTTTTTTATCCTTGGTGTGCTGAGTACCAGGGGCCTGGTAAGACTGCAGATCCACTCGTGAATGAAACTGGTATCGGCCGCTTTCCACATCACAGTAGTAATAAATTCCAGTTGCTGGATCATAATACAGTTGATTTTCCTTTATAAGAAACATGAAGAACAATGTTATCATTACTTCAATAAATACATTGTTCAAAGAAACACCCAGTTAATAAAGAAGCACATACTAAGTTTAAAAAAAAATAAATACTCAAACGTACTAAAGAACTGTGGTGGCTTGACCCTGGCTGGCTACCAGGTGCCCACACAGCCGCTCTTTCAATCCCCCTCTTCAACAGGACTGGGGGAGAAAACAAGATTAAAAGCTTGTGGGTTAAGATAAAGACAGGGACATCACCATCATGGGCAAGCCAGATTTGACTTGGTGAAAATAAATTCAATATATTGCCAGTTAAGAGAGTGCTGGAAGATGAGAAACAAAGACAAAACACCGCTCTGTGCCCCTTTTTTCCCCAAGCTCTACTTCCCTCCTTTATTCCCAACTCCTCTACCTCTCTTCCCCCTGCCCGAGCAGCACAGGGAGATGAGTGGGGGGTTGTGGTCAGTTCATAACAGTTCTTCCCTGCTGCTCCTTCCTCCTCATGCTTTGCCCCTGCCCATGGGTTGCAGTCCTTCAAGAACTGCTCCAGCATGGGTCCTCCACAGGCCACAGCTCCTTAAGGAGCTGCTCTGCTGTGGGGTCCTCCACAGACTGCAGTGTGGATATGTGCTCCAGTGTGGTCCTCTTCCATGGACTGCAGGGAATTGCCTGCGCCGGTGCTTGGAGAACCTCCTCCCGCTCCTTCTTTGACCTTGGCATTCGCAGGATTGTCTTGCACTTCCCCTCTTTCTCCCCCCCTCCGCCACATACACACTCCACTGTGCAGCATTTCGCCCTTTCTTAAACATGCTTTCACAGAGGCACCACCAGCTTCTCTGATGGGCTCAGCTGTGTCCTGCAGTGCAATCGGCTGTGTCCAGGCAGCCCCTGACCTCTTCTCACAGAGGCCTCCTCTGCAGCCCCCAGCCCCACTACCAAAACCTTGCCAGTAAACCCAATACAAGAATACTTCCTGTAATTCAGAACAGTTACTGAAAAAGAAAATATATTCTTTTGTGTAATAGTACCATAAACTGTAATCTATAACCCTAAACATTTATGTATCTAACTATACCCACAAACTATGTCAAAAGCAATGGTATCATTTGATGGCAAAATTAAGTCCAGAAGCGTCCCTGAAAACAAAACATGTAGTTTTGTGTACCACATGCACTTTTTTTTAATTGAGTTGAATGTAATGCTGCGAACAAAACCTCTGTTCACATCACAGTAATTCCACTGGGATTTGTGACTGTATATATCTATCTATATAAGCATGTACATATACACGTACCTCATAGGACAAAAAGAAAACCTCCCCAAAAGCTCTCGTATGAAAAACATATAGCAGAAATTAACCATTATGAAATTTTGATCCACTGTCTGATATCTTTTTTAAGAAGTATTTTCTTTCCCGTAACATCAAACTAGTTGATAACCGTACTCAAATAAAAGTACAAGTATTCTGTGTATTTTCTCTCAACACACTTTTCACTGTGGAGAAGCCACTGACTTAGTTCAGCAATACGATTTTTTTCTAAACAAGTCATATTTTAGCTCAAGCTTTTAATTTTGAAAGAGTTACAGAGCAGCTTTAGAGTATAAAATTTCTACAATGCCAAGCAAGTTAAAGATCTAGGAGACATCAAAAAGAACTAAATGAAAATCTAAATTTATATATTAGACTGCTATCTTTAATTTGACTGAAATAATTCAACAACTACTTAACAAACTTCCATTACTATCAGTCTTCAGTAACATGTTTTTCAAATCATAAAGTCAGTTTGGACCTTAGTTCTTTGCTCATCAACTTCTACTACTAAAACTTTGCAATAGAGAAAAAATGCCAAGGGCTTTGAAAACAGTCCTTACTGAATTATAGTAGAATCCAGTGCTATGGTCATAATACAATCCTGTATTTTCATCGTAAATAAATCCGGTTTGTGAAACAGCAGCTTCTGCAGCAGCTCTCAAGCTCTCCGCCAAAGAACCCTCTGGTACTGAAGTATCTTCTGCTTCCTGATACCAGAAAGTAAGAAATTAAATTTTTTTCTAAAAAGAATCTCTGTGGTTCTTTAGCATTTTACAATGCCCTATTTTAAATAAAACAGATTAGTGCTCTATGGACTTGGATTGATTCAAGAACTATTAAACAAGAAGGCAAAAATCTAGCTGTAGTTTACCGATAAACTCCTACTGATTTCAATGGGACCAAGACTTCATCCTGTGCCTTTTGTTTTTCCCAACCTTTATTCAGAAGTGGTTCATGTCAAAAATATATACAGTGAATATCTTTCAGCACATTCCTAAAATAGATTTCTACTCTCCATTCCATTTCAGTTGCTAGATGCTAAGGCACAAAATCAGTTAGGTGATTGAGATGAAATGAGTGATCTAAGAGAAGGCTGGATAGCAGGGGGGGAAAAAAAAAACCCACGTAACAAAATAAATAAAACCCCCCAACAACTTTCTTCTCCTCATTTGCTGCCTCCTTATATCAATGGAGGGGGAAACAAAAAAAGTATATTTTAGGACAGTAAGCATGGCCATATCAAACACATTCTGCTGATAAAAAAACGCCATGCTTCCAGGCTATGTAGGACATATGTTTTAGAATGTGCTTTTTTTTTTTTTTAAACAAATCTAGGAGTATGTTGCACTTGGAACATACTACAAAAAGAACTAGTTTCAAAGCACAGGGATGTTTGTCTGCTATCATTAGCACCACACCATCACAAAAAATCATTTCATACAATGACATCAAGATCAAAAGCACATCTTTGAAATGAAATGAAATATTAATAGAGTGCTGACTTCAAAATTGGTAAAACCCCAAACAGTTCTACAACCTGTGAATTCTGGATGAAATTTTCCCCTTCTCCACCTTCAGCAACTTCAGTGCTATCCATCCTTAACGGAATACTAGCACCCGTCTGTGATGCCTCTGTGGAATTATGCTCAGTGTCTTCAGTCCCATGATTGTGCTGCACTGGCAGTTCAGATGCACAGTCTTGAGTATCAGTGTGATTGTAACAGTTTTCATAGTAGTAATAATCTACGCGGGGGGGGGGGGGAAGGTTGAAGTTGCATAAATTAGAAAAGCAATATTTTACACAATGCAGTTTAACGATCCTAAATCTTAAACTGGAAATTTATGCATATAAGTAGTCTAATGAAAGTCAATTATTAGGTAGTGCCTCCACTTTGAATTTATTCTACTCTTACTGAACCAATTACATCTTGTTTTAATGTACTTTAAAAATCGGTAAAACATGTATGTGTGTAATGTATGAGATTACTGTGTAACAGATTACTATGGCATGAATTCTGCTACAGTCCATGCTACATTTTACCCTGTTCTAAAAGGAATGGCTTGAATAAGTAGGAAATTATCTGAAAGACAATGTCAGGTTACTGAGTTTAATGGAGCTCAGGATACAGACTTGAAATGTATTTTATATTAAAAAAAATTTCAAAATAAGATACTGTTTTGGATGCCTGTTTAAGCAATCACCACCCTCTCTACCTGCTTGTGACCATGCAGCATAGTCCTCTGTCTGTACTTCTACGCTAGATGTATCTTTCTCCTTCCTACGATGGATTTCCTTAGTGAGCTCTTCAACCTGAAAGAAAAACACCATGTTACAGAATACGACGCTACATTTTAGGAGTCTGCGTCAGAGAAGTATATCAGCCTATCTTACGTTCTATAATTCAAACAAAGCATAACGGCATCACAGCTATTTCAATTGATCGTTGTTTTACAGGAGACAATTTTCTACTTGAATGGTTGGCATAATGAAAAACATAATTTCCGCTCACGAAGGGTGTAATAATGAAGGCAAGCACTTGGGAGGAAAAAGAAAAACTTAGCCACGGCTATTTTGAAGATGCCCACCCTGAAAAGTTGAATTTCAAGCAATGACCGCTGTTCTGTGGTGACAACCTGTGGCATCTACGAAACTTCCCTATTTTGCCATAAGCATCCGTGGGACAGTTCTTCCACTCCTCCTTTACCTCACCGTGTTAATTATTAAGCTCCTCTCCTTCTGCTAAATGCAGTTTTTCCTCCTGACAGCGAAACCAGCTTTGTGGCTGAGAAGAGGTTCTCGTTCTCACCACCACCACCAGTCGGGCCAAACGTTGAACGTTGGCTCGGCACAGCAAACTCGAGCCAGCAGCAGCAGCAGCACTCTCTCCGGTCGCTGAAGTCCCGCAGGCCAGGAGAGCCTGGCGCGGTCCGGGAGGCACGGGACCCTCCTGCCCCATGAGCTCAGCCCGGGCGGAGGGGGCACGCCGCGGGGTCCGGCAAGCCGCGGGGGGGAGAGCGAGAGGGGTACCCGGTCGGTGGGTGACCCCCAGGCAGCGGGGGCGCCTGGCAGAGCTGGGGCCGGGTGGCGCCCGGGCGC